GAGATGGACTCTCACGATGTAGTCTAGGCTGGTCTCAAACTCCTGGCCTCAAGGAGTTCTCTCACTTTGGCCTCCTGAATTGCTGGGATTACAGGTGTGAGCCACCAGTCTGCCAAGAAATTTTATTAACTGAATGAGGAATGAACAAACAAAACAGATCCAAATCCTTGCTGTACTACTTATCACCAGCTTTGTGTCTTAGGACAAATTACTTACCCTCTCCTCATGTGAAGATGAGGCCTCTCACGGGTTGTGTATTGGAAACTGTAAAAATGCCTGATACGTGAAGACATTGTGTAAATGGCCGCTATTTTTTCTTTCCTTCATCTGAAAAATGCACCCTTTTTGCCAAACATAAAGACCTTACTGTACATCTTTTTTCTCTTTTTTTTGAGACAGAGTCTCACTATGTTGCCCAGGCTAGAGTGCAGTGGTGCAATCTCGGCCCGCTGCAAGCTCCGCCTCCTGGGTTCACGCCATTCCCCTGCCTCAGCCTCCCAAGTAGCTGGGACTACAGGCGCCCGCTACCATGCCCAGCTAATTTTTTATATTTTGTTTAGTAGAGACAGGGTTTCACTGCGTTAGCCAGGATGGTCTTGATCTCCTGACCTTGTGATTCACCCGCCTAGGCCTCCCAAAGTGCTGGGACTACAGGCGTGAGCCACCACGCCTGGCCAACTGTATATCTTTTTTTTTTTTTTTTTTTTTTTGAGACAGGGTCTCCCTCTATCTCCCAGGCTGGAGTGCAGTGGCATGATCTTTGCTCACTGCAACCTCCACCTCCCTGGTTCAAGCAATTCTTGTGCCTCAGCCTCCCGAGTAGCTGGGACTACAAACATATGCCACCATGCCCAGCTAATTTTTGTATTTTTAGTAGAGACGTTTTTCGTCATGTTGGCCAGGTTGGTCTTAAACTCCTGACCTCAGGTGATCTGCCCGCCTCAGCCTCCCAAAGTGTTGGGATTACAGGTGTGAGCCACTGTGCCCGGCCTATTTTCCTCCTCTGATCTGACATCATGGGCACGTCTATTCTTCCTTCAAACCATTTCAGACTCATTCCTTCCTCCTATTACCCTTCTGAGACCTTTCGTAATAACTTTAGCACACTTGACCTCTCCTACCACCAAACCAGAGGTATCCAAAGTAGGGGATATGCAACCCAGCATGTAACACACTTGTTCTTAGCACATACGATGCCCCCAAAATGGAAACAGCCCAAATATCCACCAACAGATGAATGGATAAACAAAATGTGGTATAAACTCACAATGGAATATTATTCAGCCATGAAAACGAATAAAGTACTGACACATGTTACCATGTGGATGAACTTTGAAAACGTTATGCCTAGTGAAAGAAGTCAGTCACAAAAGGCCACGTACTGTGTGAGTCCATTTTTATGAAACATCCAGAATAGAAAAATCCATAGTGACAGAATGCATACTGGTGATTGCCAGACATCGGGGGATGGGGAAGAAACTGCTTGATGGGTAAGGGGTTTTACTTTGGAGTAATGGAAATGTTTTGGAACTAGGGGCGGTGGCTGTAAAAGACTGAATGTACTAAATGCCACTAAATGTTCAGTTTAAAATGGTTCATTTCACCTCAATAAATTTTTTAAAAAATGAAGTAGCCATTCTTCCAGGTGAGCTGAAAAGTTTGAATGAGGCATAGGCTCCTTAAATTTCTAAGATGTAAAGTGCTGGGCAAATATCAGGTGGGGATGCTGAAGGAAGGAATAATCAGAAGGTCAGCATGTGTGGCTTCGAAGTTCTGCCTCAAATAATAATGATAATGATACTTAGGGATAGTTATAATATTGACTTATTTGGTTTCCTTGTAAACCAGTGTTATTTTAGAAAAAGAGGGAGATAGCTCTAGGAATTACAGCTAACACTTCTACAACACTTAATATGAGCAAGGCATTGTTCCAAGTACTTTACTTCTAAAACTTACTAAATCCTTACAACTCTAAGACGTAGTATCATCACATTTCCATTATCGATGAGGGAATGGAGGAATTGAGAAGTTTAAATGAGTTCTCCAAGTCACAGATAAGGAAATGGCAGAGTCCAAATTTGAACCTAGGCAAGTTAGGCTGTAGGCACTGAAGTCTCAACCACCAGGCTCTGCACTAAGTGCTCTCCAGGTTTTATCTCATTTAATCCTGTAAGGAAGGTGTTATTATTCCCATTTTATTTTATTTATTTATTTTTGAGACACAGTTTCGCTCTTGTTGCCCAGGCCAGAGTGCAATGGCGCGATCTCCGCTCACCGCAAACTCTGCCTCCTAGGTTCAAGGAATCCTCCTGCCTCAGCCTCCCGAGTAGATGGGATTACAGGCATCTGCCACCATGCCCGGCTAATTTTGTATTTTTAGTAGACACGGGGTTTCTCCATGTTGGTCAGGCTGGTCTCAAACTCCCAACCCCACGTGATCCGCCCACCTCGGCTTCCCAAAGTGCTGGGATTACAGGTGTGAGCCACTGCGCCTGGCCTATTATTCCCATTAAAAAAAAATCCCCCTCATGGTATCCACATTCCACACCTTCTAGTCTTTCTTGTTTTTTTTTTTTTTGAGACGGTGTCTCGCTCTGTTGCCCAAGCTGGAGTGCAGTGGCGTGATCTTGGCTCACTGCAAGCTCTGCCTCCCGGGTTCACGTCATTCTCCTGCCTCAGCCTCCTGAGTAGCTGGGACTACAGGCACCCGCCACCACGCCCAGCTAATTTTTTTTTTTGTTTTTTTGTATTTTTAGTAGAGACTGGGTTTTGCCATGATAGCCAGGAGGGTCTCGATTTCCTGACCTCGTGATCCACCTGCCTCGGCCTCCCAAAGTGCTGGGATTACTGGCATGAGCCACTGCGCCTGGCCAATCTTTCTCCCACATTTATTTTTATGTTGGTCCACATACTCCTGTCATTCTCACTTTGTTTCATTTTTCTTTTCTTCTTCTTTTTTAAGAGACAGGGTCTTGCTATGTTGTCCAGGCTGGAGTGCAGTGAGGCAATCATAGCTCAAGCTATCCCCAACTCCAAGTGATCCTCCCACCTCAGCCTCCTCCCTAGCTGGATTACAGGGGCATGTCACCATGCATACTAATTTTCTTTTCTTTCTTTTTTTTTTTGGTAGAGATGGGGTCTCATGTTGCTCAGGCTGGTCTTCAACTCCTGGGCTCAAGTGAACCTCCTTCCTTGGCCTCTCAAAGTGCTGGGATTAGAGGCTTTGGCCACTACATCCAGCCTGAATCTTATTATTTATATTTTCTTTTAGTCTCCCATTACTAGAAGGCAGGGATTTTGATTGCTGTTAATTTTCCAATATCCAAAATAATGTGTGGTACCTAATAGGCTCTCAATATCCAAAAGGAATAGTGCACATGGCATTCTGTAGTATTAGGTTGGTATCTTGTGTTCCTGTGTTTGCATAAATAAGATTACAGGAGTCAATGTGCCCAGCTCAGCTTAATGGCTTTGTTTTTTCTCTTTTGAGACAAGAGTCTGGCTCTGTCACCCAGGCTGGAGTGCAGTAGCACTCCATTGACCACACCTGCCCAATTTTTTTGTTTTATTTTTTAGTAGAAACATGTTTCACCATGTTGGCCAGGCTGGTCTCAAACTCATGACCTCACGTGATCTGCCCGCCTCCGCCTCCCAAAGTGTTGGGATTACAGGCGTGAGCCACCACGCCCGGCCATGTCTTTCTTTTTTTTTTTTGAGACAGTTTTGCTCTTGTTGCCCAGGCTGGAGTGCAATGCCACGATTTCGGCTCACCGCAACCTCCGCCTCCCGGGTACAAGCAATTCTCCTGCCTCTGCCTCCCGAGTAGATGGGATTTCAGGCATGCACCACCACGCCCTGCTACTTTTGTATTTTTATTTTTTTATATTTATTTATTTTTTCGAGATGGAGTCTTGCTCTGGCTGGAGTGTAATGGTGTAATCTCGGCTCACTGCAACCTCTGCCTCCCGGGTTCAAGCGATTCTCCTGACTCAGCCTTCTGAGTAGCTGGGATTACAGGCGCACGCCACCACGCCCGGCTGATTTTTGTGTTTTTAGTAGAGACGGGGTTTCTCCATGTTGGTCAGGCTAGTCTCGAACTCCCGAACTCAGGCTGCCCACCTCAGCCTCCCAAAGTGCTGGGATTACAGCAGTGAGCCACCGTGCCCGGCCCTTTTTGTTGTTGTTTTAAATTCAGTAATTATATCTAGTTCATTCTTGGATGGATGACAACCCAGATTGGATGTAGCAGCGTTCTCTTAACCAGTTTCCTGTTAATCTACATTTCACCCCCAGTGTTTCTCGAGAATGCAAATATGGCATTAAACATCTTCACACATAACTTTTTGTGTATATGTTTACTTGTTTCTCTAGAATTCATGTCTAGAAGTGAAACTGCCGGGAGGAAGGATACATACTTTTAAAATGTCCAAGTTCCACTCTGATAGCGCTGAGAGGGCACACAACAGGTTTCAATGTACCTTGGATCAGTATTATTAGTTTTTCTAACTCTTTGCTAATGTGATGGGGGAAAAAAAATGAACCCCCAATTTACACACGAGGAAAAGACCGCTTAAGGTTCAGGGACTGTCCACATAGCTGTCAAGTGCCGGAGCCGTGATTTGGCATTAAAGTGTCCGACTCCGGAGAGGACGCGTCAAAGTTGGACACTGTGCTCTGTGTCCTGGGGAACGTCTGATGATCGCTGGGCCTTGCAATGCTGGCAGGCAGGCCTTCCTCTCCCCTTCTAGGCCTCTGGCCACTCCTGGCTGGCCGAAAGCCGGCTCTTCTCGATTACCGAGTGCCCCTCCTGAAAGTAAGTCAGCATCGCCTAACCTCTTCAGCTCCGAAATGGCGGCCACCAGATCGCGAGCCCACGCCCCGGGGGCGGGGCCTGTGTTCAGGCCAGAGCGATGGATGCCCGAGCCAAGTTAGAAGTCGACTGCCAGGAGGGCTAGCGCAGAAGCGGAGAGCCGGTGGCGTCGCAGGTCGGGAGGACGAGCACCGAGTCGAGGGCTCGCTTGCAGTGGCCGCCCGAGACTCTTAATCGCGGGCGCTTGGGCCGCCATCTTAGATGGCGGGAGTAAGAGGAGAACGATTGTGAGGTGGGAAGGGTTTTCTGCTGCATTCCTTGGGCCCCGAAAAGGGTCAGCTGGCCGGGCTTTGGGGCGCGTGCCCTGAGGCGCGGAGCGCGTGTGCTACGATGCGGGGGCTACTCGGGGCTCCGTCCCCTGGGCTGGGGACGCGCCGAATGTGACCGCCTCCCGCTCCCTCACCCGCCGCGGGGAGGAGGAGCGGACGAGAAGCTGCCACCGGACGACAGGACGTTGGGGCGGCCTGGCTCCCTCAGGTAGGTGGCAGGGGCCGGGTCGTGGATGCCGGGGGAGCCGGGCGGCGGGACTGAGGGACCGGCTTCCAGGGCGAGCGGGCCTGGGTGGCGCTGATGGAGCGGCCCCACGGCTGCCGGGCTGAGGGCTTGGGCCAGGCCGCTGTCACCCCGGTTAGCGTTGGGCGGGGGCCCCGGAGTTCGGTGTCATGGCCGGCGAGCCTAGTTCCCACATCCCACTCAAATTTCCTTGTGTTTTGCGGAAACGTGCCAACGCCACCCCTGTGCCAGTGCGCATTCCTCATTATTTGGCAGTGGGAAAATCCGCCCAGAGCTGCCCCATGTCTGTTGTCACTTGGATGGGCCAATTCCTTTTCTCTTGGGCCGTCGATTGTGGGACCCGGGCTTGCACGCAACCTTTCTCTGGATACTTCAGTCAAGTGACACCCTTTTAGGGAGGACGTGAGGAATCGGGTAAGAGAGGAGGAAACTGGCCAGTGCCCTAACACAAAGTCACAGGGTTCTCTTCTTGGATATCAGGACTAGCCTTGGGTATCAGGACTCTGTGGGTTATTAATGAAAGTCTTGGGATGCTTATAGAGGATTGGCCTCAGGACGCTTTGGAATGAAGAGCCAGGGCTGCCTTTTGTGTGAAGCGAGAGCCGCCGGGACGCTTCAGCTCTGCAGCTGCTGAGGCTCTGCGAGCAAGTCGATACCCAAGAGAGAGGAGTTTGGACGTCGTGAGAGGCGAGGCGGCCGTGTTCATTCATTGTTCTCTTTCTAGGGCTCTGGGTGTGCCCCTGGTATTCATTCTGTGGTGGGAAGAAGGATAGGAACTTCTATGTCTCCTTGAGGTGTGAACGGGTTCTAGGGGGTCACTTAATCTAAGTAGGAAATGAATTCAAGGCACGTTCATTGAACGTTTCTGCTTGCCTGGTCCTCTGTGGGCTGAGTGAAGAGATTCTGCTCTCCCTGCGCTCCTAAGGCGTGAAAACAATGCAGTGTGATAAGATTTGGCTTACCAAGTGTTGTGGGGATTTAGAACAGTTAGTTTTCCTTGGGGAGGAGTTGAGGAAGCTTCTACACTCGAGGAGACTTAAGCGTCGAGTTTTGAAAGACCGGTGAGTAAGTGCTCACCAGGTGAGGAGGAACTCAGGAAACAGCTGGTACAAAGGCTTAGAGACATGTGGGAGTTGGGATGAGTTTGGGGAGCAGCAAATTGCCTGGGGTGCAGGAAGGAAATGGTGAGAGATGAGAGAAAAATAAAAGTTGCTAGAATTGTGAGGGGGCTTTGTTATAGATGGTGAACTAATTGAATTTGGATTATTGTACATGATTTGCTGAATCTTTATTCTTGCTGATAGTTTTCTCCCTTTGTCAATGTTGAAGCTGATAGTGATTGAAAAGATTTAGTTTGTTAAACTTAATGACTTTTTAGTTTTTTTTATTTTTTCAGAACAATTCAAACTTTTTTTCTTTTTTCTTTTTTTTTTTTTTTTAAAGGAACAGGATCTCACTCTGTCACCCAGGCTAGAGTGCAGTGACATGATCGTAGCTCAGTTGCAGCCTCTAATTCCTGGGCTTAAGCAGTTCTCCTGCCTTTGCCTCCTGAGTAGCTGGGACTACAGACAGGTGCTACCACACATGGCTAATTAAAAAAAAAAAAATGAGTAGGGATGGAGTCTGACGGTGTTGCCTAGGCTGGTCTCAAACTCCTGGGCTCAGGTGATGCTCCTGCCTCCACCTCTCCCTCCCAACGTGCTTGCTGGAATTACAGGGGTGAGCCACTGGCCAGGCAGAACTTTTTTTTTTTTTTAAATAATAGAGAGGGGGTTGCACTGTGTTGGCCAGACTGGTCTAAAAAGTATGCCTTCAATAGAACTCTTGGGCTCAAGTGATCCTTCAGCTTCAGCCTCTCAAAGTGCTGAAATTACAGGTGTGATCCACTGCGCCTGGCCAGCAGAACATTTTTGATAAGTGTTTTATATCAAATGTTTTGCACTTACACAGTGGTGAATGAATTGAACTCATATATTCCTGGGGATTCTTGCAAAAAATTCTCCTAAAGTTATACTTGCTCACAAAAATGTTAACTTTATAAATGTAAAACACTCTCCTAATATTTGTTTTATTATCCTATTATTTTTTATTTTTTTGAGACAGAGTCTCACTCTTTTGCCCAGGCTGGAGTGCAGTGGTGCGATCTCGGCTCACTGCAACCTCTGCCTCCTTGGTTCAAGCAGTTGTCCTGCCTCACCGTCCCGAGTAGCTGGGATTACAGGCACACATCATCACGTCTGGCTGATTTTTGTATTTTTAGTAGAGATGGGGTTTCGCTGTGTTGGCCAGGCTAGTCTCGAACTCCTGACCTCAAGTGATCTGCCCACCTCGGCCTCCCATGGCCTCGCTGGAATTACAGGCGTGAGCCACTGTGCCTGGCCTAAATTTTAAATATAAATAATGTACTCCCCAGTCTTACAGAAATTGGACGACTCTAGAAAACAAACATCCAAAAAATGTGTAGGATGTATTTTTAGTTTAATAAGTGTATTTTTAAAACTATTTCTTGGTATTGACTTCTTGGGTAACAACCTGTTATAAAATCTTTATCCCCATAAACATAATTTTCCTAAAATAGGTATAATACTGTGATTAATGTTTATGCTAAAGTGACTATTACGGAATTAACAGACTTCAGTTGCAGTTCCTAAACCTTGCTTTCGTTGTGATGATTATATACCACTGAAGAACATTCAGGATTATTTTGACTTGTTTTTACCCTTATCACTAAAGGGCTAAGCTGTTTAAAATGCAGCATAAACAATTGACCCAGTTGAATGCTGGGATACTTGGAAAAATAAACCTGTTACTGTTTCTGTACTAAAGGCTTATCTTTTAAAGATATGTGGTTTTTTTTTTAGTGCAGTGGCATGATCTTGGCTCACTGTAACCTCTGCCTCCTCCCGGGTTTAAGCATTCTCCTGCCTCAGCCTCCCAAGCAGCTGGGACTACAGGCACCTGCCACCACGCCTAGCCGATTTTTATATTTTTAGTAGAGACGGGGTTTCGCCATATTGGCCAGGCTGGTCTTGAACTCCTGACCCACCTGCCTTGGACTCGCAAAGTGCTGGGATTACAGGCGTGAGCCATCGTGCCTGGCTGATATGTGGTGTTTCGTGGTTATAAATTATAGTGGAATTCCTTTGTTAAAGTCTTGTCAGTAGTTGTAAAAACATCAGCCAGTTGTGGTGGCTCATGCCTGTAAGCCCAGCACTTTGGGAGGCCGAGGCTGGTGAATTGCTAGAGCTCAGGAGTTTGAGACCAGCCTGGGCAACTTGGTGAAAACCTGTCCCTACAAAAAATACATACACAAAAAAAGAAAAAATTAGCAGGGTATGGTGTAGTATGCCTGTAGTCCCAGCAACTTGGGAGGCTGAGGTGAAAGGATCACCTGAGCCCAGGGAGGTTGAGGTTCAGTGAGCCATGTTCATGTCACCGTACTTCAGTGTTGGCGACAGAGACCCTGTCTCAAAAAAAAAAAAAGTGTGCCTTCAATAGAAGGCTTGAGCATATTTTATGGGATTTGGTTTAGCTGAAAAAAACAGTGAGAAGCAAATTAAGCTGGTAATTTCTGATGAAAAGTATCTAAAAGATGAAGAACGTTAAGCATCAAGTATTATATAACAGTTGCTCTGAGACTAGTTGCTTTTAGTTTATTCCATTTGTTTGCTCTGAAGATTAAACAACTTCTTGTAAGTTAAATTTGACTTTTCCAGAAGCACTGGAATATTTAGGAAATGAAAAATACAATTGATAACTTTAAACTACTGTTTCAGGTAGTCTATTAGTAATAAATGTATGATTCTACATTTAAATTTCAGGTAAATCTTTGTTAGTAACCTGCTGCCTAAAAAATGTTACATGAGGGAGTACTTTTGTTTGCATGTTAGGAACATAATAGGCCATACATAATAATCTTGATCTTGGGAGGAGCTTGTTAGCCAAACAGCATGCCTTAATGTTGACTTGCAGAAGAGAATTTTAAATATTGCCTTTGAAAGGCAATGTACTAATGTGACAGTGAGGAGGTTTATGAAACCATGAAATTGAGCTTTGACTTAGTTTTTTGTTTTTAAGTTATGCAGATCTTGGGAGTCATTTCTTCAAAACAAATGACTGTGAGGTGGAAAATTGCTTACCTTGAGTAAATTAATTGGAAAATCAGAGAACACTGGGTTTATTTAGAATGAGGTTGTTTAGGTCTTTTATTGGTATGTGTATGGGAGGGTAGAATTCCTAATTGCTCATCTGACTGGGTTCAAAATGTAATACTAGATATTTGTGTTGCAGTTCAGTCGATACTTTTGGTATCGGGCTAACTTATCTTGCCTGTAAATTTTTTTTTTTTTTTGAAACGAAATCTGGCGCTATCACCCAGGCTGGAGTGCTGTGGTGCGATCTTGGCTCACTGCAACCTCTGCCTCCCAGGTTCAAGGGATTCTTATGCCTCAGCCTCCCGAGTAGCTGAGATTACAGGTGCCGGCCACCACGCCTGGCTAATTTTTGTGTTTTTAGTAGAGACGAGAGTTCGCCATGTTGGCCAGGCTGGTCTCGAACTCCTGACCTCAAGTGATCCACCCTCCTCGGCTTCCCAAAGTGCTGGCATTACAGGCTCGCCCAGGCATCTTGCCTTGTAATTCTCATGATAGTAATGGCTGGGTATTTTTTTCTTGCCTTAGAGTTGTAAGTAAAAATTCCTTAATTACACATTAAGGTTTCATCTTTAATTTTACAATATGTGAGTCATTTTGTAACTTCTTTTCTCCCAGAATGACTTGCATAGCTCTAAATGGTTTTAGTTAATTTCAGATGTTTACCTTTCTTCTAAAATGACCCCTAGAATCTCAGCTTAACCAAGGAAAATGTCAAGTGGGTATTGTTTCTTTGTTACTGGTTTTGGCCTAGACTATCTAAAGTTCGGCAAATTACTCACAAAGTATGTTAACTGGCATGACATTCCAATC